AAAAAAAAACTAAGGTGCTTCGACACCTTGTATGTTTTCTGATATGTACCCCTTTAGTCTAGATTCTTGTACGTCTGAAGATCAGATAGCGATTGTCATTGAGAAATATGTAAGCAACAAACCTTTTGCTCTTCCAGCTGATCTAATTGTGCGGCAAATGCACCTTGAAGACTTTGAAACTTGGCGAAGAATTCTCCAGGCCAATAGCGAAAAGTTGTGGACGTGCTGTCAAACAGGCCACTTTACCTTCGACGTCAATTACACTGAGAAGGGCGCCAGACTTGACGTTAAAAAGTTGAACAGAACAAGGAAGATCAACAGCAATGACACACTCCTCGTCGCTGACAAACTTACAACCATCCACAGGTATTTCTAAGCCCATAATAGGCAACGTACAGCACGTGCGTCCTGAAACAGCATCCAGTACGTAGGTGGGCTCATTTGTCCACAGGACAAGAAACTTTTCGGTAGGGGAAAACACCGCACCTCTTACAGTAACATAGGACGCCGGACTGTACTCCTTTTTCCAAACAACTGCCATGTTATCCACCAGCTGAAGGGAATCAGAGGCACTACTGGTCAACAACTGACATCTACTGTTGCATGTAATAACTCGAGTTATTCCGTGCAATAGTGGGATGATTGACATCATTTCTCCACTGCTGGTGTCCAAGACTTCTACTCCACACTCTCTTACGAATGCTACTCGATTGTCCAATAATGGAATCACATGTTTGATTCCAGGCAGGTTGTTCCATCTTTTGAGGCACTCAGACAGGTGATCATCCCACAACTCTAAAGCGCCACCTCCCTTTGTAATTAGAACACCTCCTCTCACAGCAACCAAACAAAAAGGCCTTGCACTCTCGAAGTTGTTCTTCTCTTCAAGCTTTCCACTTGTCATGCTCCAAGAGATAACCAACGTGTCACTCATAACATAAACAAACTTGCCATCTGAACTGAAGGCAATCCCAGTCACTTTGCCTTGATTATTGGGAGTAAGGTTATTGGTATTCACCATTTCTATTTCCCTCCACTCGCACCGCAACAGACTTTCTTCGTTAAGAACAAAATTAATGCTGGAAGCTTCATCTGAGAAAACAAGGTCTCCCAAAGAAAATCCGCGGTCACTACAAGACCCGAATTCCCTGTGACTGTAAGACACTTCATCGGAAAAAACATCTAAACCAAATGTTTGATAGGTCTCCCCACTGACCCTCAGACAGTACGAGCGAAGCTCTTGGGTTGTTCTATTTTCTACTATTTTGTTGGTCCAATGCCAACAAAATAGGAATCGACGATCAGGCGAAAACTTCAACATTCCACAAATCTCTGGGGTAGTTGTCCGTGCCAGAGATTTGAAACCATCCATCGCATCGACCAAACAAATCATGCCCGTGGAATGGGAAACTGCAAGAAGCCTTTCATCATGAGACCAGGCAAACGATAAGATATCTTGATCACTCGTAAACCTAGAAATCTCTGAGCCATTTTCCAAACTCCACAAGACAAGGCGTTTAGTGTTATCAAGACAGTTAGTCAGTAACGCGGTCTTGTCTCTGGAAACTGAACAAACAGTGAAGCAGCATTCACTTTTTGGAAAAAGCGGTTTTAATTTACCGTCAATAGTATAAGCGTCACTGAGGATTCCGGGTAAAACAGTCTTTAGTAGGGTGGAAAACCACAGAGCGATAAAGCGAAAGAACATTTGAGGACGACAGCTTTCTATAAGCCGGAAACATGAACATAACAAGATTCTTTGTTACTTTGGCTGGACGAATCCACACAAGTCTACCTGTCTGAAGAGACCACAGCTGAAGCATACCATCTGAACACTCGCACACCATATAATCTAGCTGTGGTGAGACATCCAAACAGACCACCAAAGATGAACATAAAAATCGAGCCACAACACCACTACGCTGCGTCGTCTTATGAACATCCTCCATATATGGTATTTTAGGATACTTGTTATGAAAGAGACTCATTGCCTGACAGGACAACACGTTTCCTCCTTGGTTCAGCATGGTTTGTAAAAAAATGTGTAGACGAAAGGGAAATCTGTGAAGGTACTTTCTTAACAAAAATAACAGGGTGTCCAAGATACATCTCCTCTCTTGTGATAGCACTATAGTTATCTTTCGCTTTTGAAGCCAAAGAAGGTCTTCCGCGGCTGTTGTGCTATGTAGACAGGTTTTGGCATACACTAACTGTAAATCTGTCAAATAGGTCGCTATCAAGTCATCAAGCGCACGAGCCTTGATGTCAACGCCCAAGTGCAACATGTGACGAGCACCATGATAAAGTGCGTAACGGTCGGTAGCGCTAAAATTCACGTCTTCTAGGCTTTTCTCTTTTAGTTTATCAAGTTCTTCAGAACAGAGGTCGGCTAGTATACGATGTCCGTCATTCTCATCCATGGCGTACTCATGCTCTCCGTAACATGAGGTGTCAGTCAACCAGTCTTTAACTGACTTGTGAATGACATGGAGACAATCATCGCGGATGGGGAGAAGTGCGGACACACTGCCCAAGGCTCTTCGTACCTTACGTTTGGCAAGTGTTGAATTAGTTCTTGGTACCAATATCCTAGAAACAAAAGCAATTGGTAAGGGTTCTCTTGAAGCAGTAATGGCAGCAAGCAAATTGAGGAATGTTTCTTCCTTCATGTCAAGTTCCCTCATAAGTTCATTTTCCAGGCGTTTGAAATAAGAATGATAGACTTCAGAAATTCCCAACGGCAAACTGTCATCAAGCTCCTCCTGACTAAGAACTGACTTATTTTCAGTGAGAAACAAAACGAGAAAATGAGCATACAGTATCAGTCCCTCGCATTTTAAAACAAGTTTCTCCACAAGTTCGTCTTTATCCTCTGGTTTAAACAGGTATCCTACCTTTCGTTCTAAATATATTCTGATGTCCTCTAGATTCCTTTCGTCATTAGACTGTAACTCAAATGGCTTTAAATGTTTCAATTTCTCTGCAATGTTCGTAGCTGGGCGAGTTGTAACAAGAAAACGAATCCAGGGTGGAAGTTTGCAAAACTGGTTTGCAATTACCTCAAGAAGCTCATTTCGCCCTTGATATTCACTTTCATCTAGACCATCTATCACCATCAGCATGTTTCGTCCGGGATCGCTAACAAGACTAAGAGGTTCCTTGAAAAGCAATGCAAACAGTTCCTCCACATTAATGTTGTTGAGATCATCTGCACCCTGGTTTCTTGTTAACTGTTCTACAAGAGCTTCCCTGTACTTTGGAAGGGCATGGGACAAGTGACAAGCCAAAGACTGAATCATTAACTGCGGCTTACGATAACGTACATTGTTGTATTGACAAAAGTGACTTCCCGAGAGCCTGCCGGCATCTTGCATTCTCTTGCAAATCACAGCTGCGATGACAGATTTTCCCATTCCTGCATTTCCACTGATCACCATCACACGGTTTTGAGAGCTTGTATCGTCCAGCCAGTTCTGAACTCTGTCAAATACCCACTCACGCGTATCTGCTTGGAATCGTTGAACGTAATAATCAATGTCCCCTCTGAATTCTGACCTGGCAAGTTTCTGGAGGACTGCATCTTTTTCCTCGTCTCTTTGTTGTCTTAACTCTTCGACCGCCTGCCTTACTTCTTGAAGACTCACTGCAATGTCTTCTATGGCCTGTTGAGATTGTGTCTGAGACTGTTCAATGTTCTTCAAGGCCTTCAACTGTGACTTGATATCCTCTTCACTAACAGCCCACTCAATCAACACGTCAATATAATCTTGCTCTCCACCTTTCTCTGCCTTCAACCTATCAACTTCCGCCTGATCGAGACCAAGACTCACAAGAACACCACTAATTTCAGTCCACAGAGCAGAGAAAGTTGGTGTATCAACATCAGTGGTTGTCACATGACCATACAAGATATTGCGATAGAACTTAACCCGTGTAAGGTTAGCCTCATGAGACGTGTCACTTGAGGGTGGTTTAGTGTGCCATCCTGAGGGGGGAGCGGTTAGTCCACAAATGTTGGTCAGAAGAAGAAACAAAAGAGTGATGTCAAAGGTGTTGGAGTCTGGAGGGACTCCACCAGGTGGGAATAGTTTGTCCCACTGATGGCCATTCAGAACTCGACGACGTAAGAGATTATTAAGAATGGGGTAATAAGCATTTAAGTCAGTAATCAAGTTTGCAGGAGGATGATGACCATCAAAAATCTTTCTAAGAACTGTTGTTCCACCGTCGATGAGAAGCCTGCTGAGCTTGGCTCCATTTGTCTTCTCCACAGAACTGGCCAGGGCTGATGGTGCTGCGGCAGCCATGAAAAGGGCCACTATATATTCCTGCAGCCGAGAAAAACAGAAAAACAGTGCAAAGTTGTTTCTGTTACTATTCTATTCTGCAGCAAATATACGTGGATAGATCTGGCTTAAAAGCAACATGAATGTTCTAAACCTTTTGATACAGTACATTAGCTTATTTTAAGTTGCCTTCCGCCTCTTTATGAAAGTGATTTCTACTGCGCAACTTTTCATGTGAAGATGCGTTGGATAACTTGCACGTAAAAAAGTATTTTACGTATAAATAGATAGGCACTAAGACTCACTATATATATCAAGGAGAGGCAGAAATGGCCAATGTTACTGTGACTTGTTAACTGTAGTGTCTACGTCATAAAAATGATTGCTTATTTCAAACTTATGAAATTAAAAATTAACGAATAACAGAGTTTGTGTAAAATTTGCTGAAGTAAATTTTTGGCAGCAACAGGCTCTTTCTTTTCAAAGCTTTGGTATAAAAAATTAGATAAATTTCAGATCACGTAATTGTTAATACTTTGTTTGTTCACTTGACTGATCCTAGATATCAGATATTGGGGAGTGAAGCTGAGCTCCACCCCAAACCCCCTCCTCCCCTCTGTTTTCCTCTGATGCTGTTCCCAGATTTATCATGTCTGGAACAGGCTACTGTTATAATCACCCTCAATTCAATTCACAGAACAGTCCATTCAGATTGACTGACGAGGCTCGAATCCAGGTTTTTAAACTTCTAGAACATTTTTATTTTTACATTTTTCATTTCTTATACGTGCGTCGAATGTGACAAAGACGTGATGTCTTATTTTGCAAGTAATTCAAGTTGACGCCGACTCCGTCGCTAGTAAAAACCAGCCTTTAGAAATATATACAGGTTGGCTGTCTGAACAGCACGTTTTTGGAGGAAAATAATATCAATAGCCGTGGTCACACTACAGACTTTTACCTAGGTAAATCCGATTTACCTAGGGCAAATTCATCAAAAATCGCTCGAGGTAAATTAATCTCGGGTTTTGTTTTACCTAGGTAAAACATCTGGGAAGGTCACACTACTGATATCGGCTCCCAAGGTTTTCACGCACAGTTGAATTTTTTGGAGCGTAAATTCAAGAAGGCAAGATGCGCAGGGATCTAGCTAATCAAAGAGACGTTTATTTCTTTTATCTCGCTGTTATTTCTTACGCTAATTCAACGTGCAAGGTGAAGAAAGGCGAAGACGTAGGCAACTAGTGCCCCACTGAAAACTGAAAACGGCTGCGAAGGAGACTAGACATATCCAAGCCCCAGACGATAAAATTTCCCCGACGTAAGTTACCTATGGAAAAATCGGTCACACTTAAAAAATTAAGTTTCCCGAGATAAACTGTCAACCAGAGATATGAGATCGGATGCATGCACTACGCTTCCACTTGGATGCATGTGCTGTACTTGTCCATCCAAGGCAATGATAACAAAAGTGAGGTAGACGACAACAACGGAGTCTATGTCTCTTATTCTCATTTTCAAAGTCAGGTGTGTTTCTCTGAAGAGAAAGATGTCTTTAAAGTTGTCTTCACGTAAAACAGCATCAAAACATACGCACAGAGATTTTTTATTAAACTACCTGTGATGTAGCCAACACAACTTGTGCGCTCGTACGAGTGAAAAAAAAAGTCTGATTTTTGGACTCGTGTTGAGTCACGGGGTTGTTGCATCGGGTTTTTAGCTCGGTCGGTTAAACTGTGACATTCGTTCACTCGAGTGTTCGCTGCAGAGCCCGCCGTAAGAAACGGTACAAAAGTAATTCGTAGTTTAAGTAACAAAAATATATAGCGCGTGGCGATTACAATAAATTCAGTCATGTACATCATAAAAATTTGTACGTGAGACGAAAAAAAATCTCGCCTGATCGCAGGTAATATGTATATTTACACAGGAGACATAACTTTTTACAAACATTGTTTTTGTTATTCAAATTTGTAACGAGTGAAACAAAAGGGTTGGTACATTTAAAACGTCAGCGTGAGTTTCGCTATAACTGCAGTTCAGTGGGGTAACATGCAAATCAGCACAATTACTTGAATTGCCACGCAAAGATATTGGTCCAGCATACCTTAAAAATATTTGTGCATTCAAGACATCAGGTTAATATTGCTTTTGCTTGTGTGGTTACCATTTGACGGACTGTAAGAATTTCGCAGTAGCATCAACAACCTTTCAGGATGTTCCAAATACACCACTAGAGAAGATGATCCTGTTCGGATCAGCTTTTATACTGGACTTGTATATTCCCTGATTTCATATATCCGACTCAGAGTGATAAGTCTTAAAAATCGGTCTAAATAAACGATTAAAAGCAGACTGTCTTCGGATTATTCTACAAACAACCCGCTGGAGTGAGATGGATATAAATCCGTCTCCGTTTTACCAAAGGCCTTTTAAGTGACATTATTTCTTCAAATAAAATCTATTAGAGGATGATTACATGCAGGAAACTCAAATTCGTGAATATATTTGGATTATTTAAAGGGTGATCAACCGCACGAATTGTTGCAATCAAAAGCGGAAGTGAATTTGCTAATTCAAGGGCAAAGAAAGCAAATCAGTTTTTGTACACTAACCACTCGTGTGACTAACCTACCTTGGGACTTAGCTCGCCCTCAATAGGAGAGCAGACATCACCAACAATAGCAGCGCCGAGAACATCAACAATAGACACGGATCCGCAGAAAATAGCCCAGCCTCAGCCCTAGGCGTTCTCTGCTCGTGAGATGTACGTCAGCGAGAGAGACTCGCTCGCCCGCTTTTCCCAGACTTCTCGCGGGCAACGGGACAAGAGAGACCACCCAGGGACTAGACTCAAAATAGCCAAGGTCTCTCAGCTGATTCTCACCCCCGGGGTATTTTGCGGGCCGCCGAATGATTGTCAGCGATTAATCATGTTAAACATTTTTGTCATGTCAATGAGTGACTGGACGAAAAATGAATAAAAATTATTTTCTTCTGATTTACATATTTTTGCCTTGTGCCAATGAAGGGGGTGCTTTTCAGAAAACCTTTTGCCTGTGTCAGGCTCAGAGATAGTGGGAACGTAAGGACAACAAGCCAAGCAAAAATATAAAGAGCCACCACGCTTTTTTCGAAGTCACGATCTGTGCACAGCACTATCTTGGAGCCTGGAATAGGGTAGAAAAACCTTCTATTAATAGTTCTCCTAAAGTGATGTATGGAATTTAAAGTTCGTATTTCCACAAGAACAAAGGGCGCTGGTCATCGCCATTGTAGTAACTGAGACTGGCCTTAGCCTCAGGTTGTCGGGTTTTGGTTTAGGAAGCATTATTTCTCCCTTAGCGTCTCTGCGAAGATGGTAATTCGGAATTCTTGGGATAAAGAAAATGCAAATAATAGCTGGAAAGTCGTATTATCACTCGAGCCAACTCGGTGGGAGTGATATCCGTCTCGGCGGAAAAGCTAACATCTCAGGTAGAGGCGGCAAGGTGGGATTTGATCAGTAGCCAGCCCCGCAGAAACAATCACATGGTACAGGCTTGCGGCTGAATCAGAAGCTTGAACGTAGACAGCAGTTAGCCTGCACCACAAACGAAACTAAACTTCTAGTCAACTCCGTCTGCGAAACAGCGCTGAAATCCTTGTTCTTGGCCCCAACCTGTGCACCAGAATTTGAGTACGTGTCATGATTGGCCTAGTAAAAAGGCCATTGTCGATTTGCCAATCAGGATGAAAAGAAATTCCAAAACGCATTTCCGGTAATTTGTTGAGTCCGTTGGGTTCCCAGGACAAGGATATGGCCGCTGCTTCGCAGACGTTACCATGGTTACTAACCGAGGTTAAATTACGTCTGCAATGCAGGCTGACAACAGTTTGCTGAATGCATTGAAGACATTAAAAAGGAAATAAGTCTTTTTGCAAAATATAAAAAGTCACATTTATTCCTATAATTTACACTCCTATTTTTTTGCTTAACTAATTTACTTACGGGATTATCCTCTTTTGAGGGTCTCAATGGGGTTAACCGATAGGCGTAAAACGGCCAAAAATTTAGTCGATAGCCGTAAAAATTGAAAAATTTTGACCGTTAGCCGTAAAAATGATAAAAAAGAGTTAACCGTAAAAGAAATTGTTCCCTAGATTTGTTAATTTTAAGGAAGGTGCTAAACTCGCTTATGGTTGCGTTTTTTATTTCCCGGCTACTTTTAACTCCGTACGCACGTTAGGCCAAGCGCCTTTCAGATGTGGACCTAGACCTAGGCTCCATTTTCGCCGCCCTCTCGAATAATCAAGTTTTTTACATAGCAAAAATCTGGCTCCTTGCTGGCGATTAATATTTGTAATTTTCAGGAGGTCATGCCCTCGAAATAATAGTGAAACAACTATAGACATTGCCATTACCATGCCTATTCCCTGTACTGCGTCTTCCCACGAAATCTCGGTCAAGGCATTTCGGTGGCGTATCTGAGAAAAAAACACTCGCTCAGACCACGTGACCCGAAACGCATTAGCCGCGCGGAATACTGAGGCCTATGGACAAGGCAATGGCAGAGAGTCGTTCTGTACAGTCCTTCGCTACTGGACACTGGAATTTTGATATTGGCAGTTTTAACACTAGAGCTAGAAATGGATTACCCATCTGAGACTAGCCTGTGTACAGTCGCCCCCTCCCCCACAGACACCACTTCTCCGATTTAGGCAGGCTATCTGAAACGGATAATCGTTCTTCAAACTGTCCGTCAAAATTGACGGATAAAGTCAGGCGACGGATAAGCCGTCTCACACGAATAATCCGTCTCTAGTGTGAAAACGTCCATTTCTGTTATAAATGAGTGTCGCGCCCCGGCCTTGAGTTGGGCGTTCGCGTGTCTGCTTTTATTTTTTCACAAAGATTATTTTTAAATTGTCTATTAACATTTCTATACGTAAAATAATATTTGAGGTGGAATAGTTTATAAAAAGTATGATCTATCAAATGTTAAAATTTTTCAATGAATAGCTTATCTCATTCCGAGATG